AGGGTAGCGCGTAGGAATTCCAAAAGAAGCCCGAGACAATTCTCAGAAAACCCCAAGGCCCCCCCACAAATCCCTGAGGACATTCTCTGGAATCCCTGGGGGATCCTCAATGAACATCTCCTGGGATCCCTGGGTAATCCCCAGGAGTCTCGAGGGAGTCCTTAGGAGTTCCTGTGGGAATCCTGACAAATCCTCCGGGGATGACCAGCAATCTCTAGGATATCCTCAGGAATCCATACAGAAACCGTAGGATGGTGAGGAAGAGGAGTAGAAGGAGGAGGCGGAGGAGGAAAAAGAGAAGCATGAGAGGGGAAGGGGGAGGAGGAGGCGGAGGAGGAAGAGGAAGGCCCCAGCCCACACCGCAGCAAGAGCTGAGGACAACACGTATCCCGTGAAGAGTTCTCAAAATCCCCCGGCGCCCCAGCCGTTCCTTAGTTCTCCACCTTGGACCAATGTGCTAACGAACCGCAACAAATGTGCTTTTAGGAATGTTTAGCAAGACTCGCTACAATTCGGGCAGGGGCCTTGTCGTCCTCCTCCTTCTCCTTCTCCTCCCCCTCCTCCTCCTCCTCCACCTCCTCCTTCTTGCCCGCCTCGTCTTGGTCCTGCTGGAGGAGATGGAAGCTGTGAGCACGTTTATACACAAGCTTGTGTGCACCACAGGGCTTGTGCCCATCACGGCTGAAAGAATTTTCTCGGACCCCGAACTGCGCCCGCCAATCCTCAAAATGTAAGGAACGGCCGAGGTCCCGCCTGGAAACACAACTTGCTCATATGATGCCTCCTCACAAGTGCATCCGCGACAAAAAGAGGGCTGCAACAAATGTCTCAAACCATCTGGCGTAACGCCCTTCGGACGTGCGCGGTCTTATTGCGTATGCACAACGCAGATGGGTTTCAAACTGCGCTCTCGCTGGAACCGCGGTGCAACTTACAATCCGCTTCGATGTGCGTCGGCAATATCCCCAAACATTGTAAAGGGGCCCTGGGACACACAAATAAATACACACAAATCAACATATCCCCCATATGTCCCCATATGTTCTTGGTTTTTGTCTTCCCCCCCACTTCCCATATGTTCCTATATTTTCTGGGGAATCGGCGATTAATTGTGTCTGTGTGTTTTTTCTCCCCTGGCATTGGTGGAGCGGCCCACGCTGGCACGTGCAAAGTCGCGAAAGCCTCCATCCTACAGGCCCTCCGTCCGTCCGTCCGTCCGTCCATGCTCGAGGTTGCCGTTCGATGCAGGCGCAGCCTCCTCCTCCTCCACCTGACTCGGGTCGGGCGAAAGGGGGGGATAGCAAAGGGGGGGGGTTGAGACTCAGCTCACGTAGCTGATTTTCCCCGCGCCGGGAGGTGCCCACGTATCGAGGAATGGGCCCGACGGCGGGGCCGAAACCAGCTGCATGCAGCAGATTTCGTAACCCCCCCTTTCCCAATCCCCCCCTTTCGCCCGGCCCGACTGACATCTCCATCCCCCTCCCCCCCCCCTCCCTGTTATGCACCTCAGCATGGGAGAAACGGGTCCTGAGGGAAACGGGTCCTCGATCCCGAGGCCTTCCCCCAGGAAGAGATCCTCATCCTGAGCCGTTTTCTGACAGTCCCGGGGCCTGTGGAAGGCCCCGAGAGTCCGATGACGGCGAAAATCCCATGTCCCCCAGGTCCCCCAGGACCCCTTCCCCCCATGGCGAATCCCCCCCCTCTCCCCGACACCTGGCCGCTCCAAGTTTTTCGATGCGTGGGCCCTGGAGGTCAGGACCACTTCCCCAGGGCCAGTTTTTCGTACTGAAAATCAGGCCTTGACGCTCCCAAAGCCCGGCGAGGGCCCCTGGAGGCCGAAAAACTGCCCCAAGACCACCGCTCGAGCTTCTGTTGGCCACGTCGGATCTCTGGGCTCCTGGCAGGAAGAGGGAGGAGGGAGGAGGGAGGAGGGAGGAGGGAGGTGGGGAGGAGGGAGAGGAGGAGGGAGGAGGGAGGAGGGAGGAGGGAGGAGGGAGAGGAGGAGGAGGAGAGGAGGAGGGAGGAGGAGGAGGAGGAGGAGGAGGGAGGAGGAGGAGGGAGGAGAGGAGGAGGGAGGAGGAGGAGGAGGAGGAGAGGAGGAGGGAGGAGGAGGAGGAGGAGGAGGAGGAGGAGGAGGAGGAGGAGGAGGAGGAGGAGAGGAGGAGGAGGAGGAGGAGGAGGAGGGAGGAGGGAGGAGGAGGAGGAGGAGGAGGAGGAGGGAGGAGGAGGGAGGAGGAGGAGGAGGAGGGAGGAGGAGGAGGAGGAGGAGGAGGAGGGAGAGGAGGAGGAGGAGGGAGGAGGAGGCAGCCGGCGCCCGCCTCCGCCCCTCGGCGCCCCGGCCGCGCGGCGCGCCCAGGCCGGGCCGGGCGCCGTCGGAGGCTCGGCTGCCGCCGCCGCCGCGGCGTCTGGGGCGCCCCGCGGGCCTGGCGGGGCGGCCGCCCGGGGGGGGTCCGCCGAGGGGGGTCCGCGGGGGGGGCCAGGTGTGCGGGCAATACTTCTATCCATATCCACTGCGTCTTGGACTTTCTTGGAAGGGGCGCCGCAAGGCCGAGGCGCACTGGATATGGATAAAAGTCGAGCCTTTTGGAGGCAGATGATAATCCATATCCAGTGCGCCTCATGTTTCTTGGGAAGAGAGTCCGAAACTCCAAGACGCACTGGATGTGGATAAAGACATTGCCCGCAAGGTGCAGCGAGCTCGCAGCACTCGGTCGGGCGTGTCCCCCTTCAGGGGGATTTCCGACGACAAATTAAAAGTGCTAGAGAAAAGTATACTAAAAATGCTCAACAATACTCCAAAACATCGTCCGCCGGGGGGCCAGGTGCAGCGAGCTCGTACCATGCTGCGACCACCCTTCGGGTGCCAAGGAGCCCAGACCCCCTCGCGTCGCGAAGACATCACGGCGGGAGTTGTTTCGCTATTGTCGGCCTCTGGGGGCCCTCACCAGGCCTCAGGACCGTCAAAAAACGACTCAGGATGAAAAACCAGTCCCGAGGAATGGGTCCGGACCTCTGGGGATCGCGTCATGAAAAAATCACAACGTCGGGGGTCTGGGAGGTGGGGGGGCGGGGGGGGGGAGAACCAACTGCTGGCAGATGCGATGGGTGTGCTGATGACGATGATGGTTGCGTGCCCGAAAGTCAGCGGCGGCGATGCTGGTGACTATGCCGGTGTCGCGCCCTCGGTGGGGGGCTCTCCGTTCCCCTGCGAGCTCACCCCCAAACCTTCGATCATAAGGGCGCACGGTAAGAATGCAAGGGCCTTGGAAGGCCACGTCGACACTTTGCGAGCGGGGCGCGGCCAGCGAACGCGGCCAAGCGTGGGCCGAAGGGGAAGGATGCAAGGGCAACCTTCGAAAACCGACCGTGGCTGACTGTGCTTGGCATCCGGCCGGGAGTTTGGGCGCGACCGCTGCCACAGCCTGCAGGAGCCACGCCGTGCTGCGCGGGGTGGCCTCGGGGGTCAGCGGGCTCGGGGCCCGAGGGGCGAGAACCTGCGCGGCCTCCCCCGATTAATACCTCCCTGCCGGGCGGCGCAACTCGGCCGCGGGCAGGCCCTGGCCCCCCCCCACCGGCCTCTCGACCACAGTGTCGGCAGCAGGCCTTAAGCTGGACAGGATGGCGACACCGGATCGGATCGGAAGACCCTGGCCGATGCCGGTGACTCGGGCCGAACCGAATCGGATCGGAGCCGCGTGCCCAGCCGGCAAATCGCATCTGCCCTGTCCGGTGGTAACCAACTTGCCCGTGCGCGGTGGCGCAGGCAGGGCTTCACGACGGTGCCTCCACCTCGCTGGTGGAAGATACGAGTCCGCTGACGCGTGGGAATGGGAGCAAGCACAGCGTGTCGCGCCGAGGCGTGGTGGGCCAGACCCGGCGGAGCGACACGCTGAGCCAAAGTTCCCGACCGTACAGTGGAGGCCCTTCCACAAGAAACCCAACCCTGAGACCCCAGGACGTCCATCGGTTTTTGGTGTGGGAACGTCACGTTTTCCATGGCAGAACCAGGGGAACCCAAGAAACCCATGGCACCCTGGAGGCAAGCAAGGCGTTTCTTGGCATGGGCCTCCACTGCGATCATCATGCCCGTACGTGGTCCATGCAAGACTTCACCACGGTGCCGCCACCTCTCGGGAGCGACGATGGGGGCGAATCGCGCAGGGGCGAGCGTTGCACGGATTCGCCCGGGAGCCTCGCCGCAAGCATGTGCCCTCGGCGCCCCTGGATACATGTTTTGCTCACCCCCTGGGATATTCGCCCCCATCGTCGGCTACACGCAAGAGTGACCTTTGGTGCGCGGTTGTTTTGGGGGCCGCGGGGAGACCAAACACAAGCGCGCAAGACGCTGAGACCGCAACGCGTTCGGCGATCGGGGGACCCCAATGGACCCGCACCAGAGGTCACTCCGGCGAAGGGTCACTCTTGTGTGTAGACGATATCGTCGCCTCCGAACCTCGCCGGTGGGAGCTGAGACTCCCTCTGGCGCGGGGTGAGGCGCGGCGCGGCGCGCCCCGCCCCGGCGCTCGAGGCGAGCTGTAGCCAGAGTGGCAGCCCTGTCGGCTAGCTTTTGTGGGTAAGCGTCGGCCTCCGCACTGGGTGAACACTCTGGGCTAGCATGCGTTCTGACGATCATCGAACACATTGCTCTCTCTCTCTCTCTCTCTCTTACGGTGTCTGGCTGTCTCTTGCTCGCTCGCACGCTCTCTCTCTCTCTCTCTCTCTCTCTCTCCCGGGTCTCGTCCTTCCAGCCTGCTCCCAGCGCGCCCCACACTGTAGCAGGAGGGAGCGGAGCCCCGAGGAGAGCGGGCCTGAACCCCAGGGCCCCCGCCTCGATCTTTGTAGGACCCGGGACACCCTCTCGTCACTGTGATCTCTCCATGCCCCCACCCCCCGGCCCAAGCTCCCTCCATCTCCTCGGGTCCTCTTCCCTTCTCAACCGCTCCTCGCTGCTGCCTTGCATCCCGCTCCATTCTCCCATCCTCTATCCTCCCATCCATCCTTGCGCGGTGTGGGGAGCGACCCCGACCTCTGCGCTTTTCTTTGCGCGGGAGGTTGCTGGAACAATAGGCGTGGCTGCCCTCGAGCAGTAAGCAACGCAACGCTCGATCGACCCAGGGCCGGTCCTGGAGCAGAACACGGGAATGAACACGCACGGCGACAATTCCTTTGGAATAACGCCGAGAAACAGAAGGCACATAGAATAGCAATCCTGGAATCCGCTGGCCATCAGGCTCCACGGATTAGGCTTGCTGCTCCCTGCTCCAGTTCCAGGTTCTAGTCTCCGATGTTACAAGTCTGTGTTCTGCTTCCGCTGTGAACTGCTGAAATCCGCGCGAGGGGGGGAACCGAAAAGAGGGCCCTGGTTACCACCACCAGGGGGGCTTCTCAGAATTTCTGAGGAGTCCTGGTGCACGTAAATCATTATATACATACATCTGATTATATATGTATATATATATATATATACAGAAATATATAAAGAGAGAGAGGGAGAGAAAGAGAGAGAGAGAGAGAGAGACCCCGAAGCCAGAATCCCTGGTCAATTACACCGTATTCGCGCCCCCGGAGCCATACGCCTGCGTAGCTTAATCGATCTTCGCGTCCCCGAGGCCATACACCCTCGCAAATTACACTGTGTTCGCGCTCCCGGAACCACAACTCAGAATAGAGTACGCAATGTTCGCGTCTCCGAGGCAATACTCTCTCTGGTACATCATATATGATGTGTGCCGCCGAAACCACGATATCTGGTAAATGACGCGTTCTTCGCGTCCGCCAAAGCATAGACCTTCGTAAAGTATGCAGTAGTCGCGCTTTCGAAGCCACAATCCTTCATAAAAAGGCCCCCAAGACGGTGCAAGAGGCCTCCAAGTTGGCCCAAGAGTTGTCCAAGGCGCCCAAGATAGTCCCAAGACGGCCAAACAGGCCCCCAAGAGGCCCCCTAAGAGCGCTCCAAGAGCACCCCCAAGAGGGGCCAAAGAGGCAACTCTGTGATTTCCATTTGAGTTTTCGATGCATTTTGGCACGCTCGCCTTCTCGGGCTTTCGACGCTCCAAGGCGGCCCAAGAGGCAACCCAAGACCGCCCCAAGACAGCCCAAGAGGCTCTCAAGAGCGCCCCGCTGGAGCCCTGCAAGGCACCTGGATATCTCAAGTGGTCCCCGTTCAGAGTTCCGACGCCGCTTCACGACGGCGCCCAGGGCTCACAACACAGCTCTTGCATACCCGATTCTCCAAGGGAGGGGGCCAGCGGCAGGGGACGAAGCCCTTACGGATCACTGAGTCAATCCATCGTTGCCTTGGACTCCAACGCCGCCGATGAGGGACTGCCGGCAGGGCCGCCTCACGAGCACTAAGACTGCAACACGAACCGATAGTGGTAGGCTGGAACGACCAGCACACCCTCGTGCCAAGGATAAGCCGCCAACGCGAGGGTTGTCTGCGGTGGACCTGTGAACGCTGTCCGTCCATTTCACCTGCTTATCCGCCCGAGCACTTCCTGACTCTACGCTCCCCCCTCATCATGTTCTCACTCCTTCTCCATCCCATCCCGCGCCGCGCCGCAATTCCCCTTCTCCATCCCCCTCTCGCTCCAGCCTTCTTCTCCGTCTTATCTTTCTCTTCCCTCTCCTCCACCTCATCCTGGCATGGTTACATACTATCATCATTTATCGCATCCTGCTTGTGATTAATACTCTCGCCTGTCTTGTTGTTATGCTCGTCGTCTACGTCCTCCTCCTCCTCTTCAGAAAGATCCTGACTGCATGCAAGCAGCTGGCTCTCTCCAGCCCCGTGAACGGGCAAATCCCACCAGCCCTTTGGGCTAAGGCTGTCTAACGAGTTCTTTCTTTCTTCTGCCAAACCCCTCTTCCCTTCGGAAAGGGTCAGAGCGTCCAACATGGCCCAGGATGGCTTCAAGAGGGCACCCGGTGCTCCGAGATGGCCTCCAAAGTGGCTCAAGATAGCCGAAGATGGTTCAAGATAGCTTCCGACATGGCTCCAAGAGGCCCGACGAGGGCCACAAAACGGTCTCAAGTGCTCTCGGAGCCCCCTCAGGGCCCGCCAAGGGGCCTCCCACCATTCCCCAAACACCTGAAGGACAGCATTGCTGTTTGCCTTCTCGCCTTTTCGCTTCCATCGCTTTGGAGGCCTCAAGGTTGTCTGAAGATGACCCAGGAGAGCCCCAAGAGCCGGGCCGGGCGAAAGGGGGGGATAGCAAAGGGGGGTTTGAGAATCAGCTTACGTAGCAAAGAGGGGCCGAAGGGCCACCCCAAACGGCCCTAGAGAGCGCCCCAGATCGGCCCAAGAGCGTCCCAAGAGCGCGCCAAGAGGCGATGTTGATGGCCCCAGGGGCGGGAGGCAAATTCGGGACCCCCCCCTATTGATCGACGGCCTCCAAGATGGTCCCAGCAGGCCCTCCAGGGCTCCCAAAGGATCCCCGAGAGGCTCACAGAGGGCTCCAAGCCCCCCCAAAAGAGCTCCAAGAGGACCCCAACATCCCCCAAAACAGTTCCAAGAGTGCTCCAAGAGGCGATGTTCAGGGCTCTGTCCTCGTCCTCGTTGTCCTCCTCCTCGTCCTCCTCCTCGTCCTCGTCCTTGCCCTCATCGTTGTCCCTGTGCTTTCCCTCCTCTTCCTCGTCGTCGTGGTCGTCGTCGTCCTCCGCCTCCTTCTCCTGCTCCTTCCCTCGCCCCCACGCGGGCCCCAGGGATGGTCCGAAAAGGCCCTACAAGGCCACCCCCTTGCTCCCACAGATCTCTCTGTTCACCCTGGTTGCACACTTGGTTTCACTATCATGGGCCGGGTTTCTGAGTGGGCTGGTGGAGATACGCGGAGCGTGATCAACTGTGTTATAATGTATAATCGGCCAGCCTGTACAAGACATTGCCCGTCCTCAGAAACAAAGCGCCCTCGCCGGCCAGCCGCAACTTCCCGTTGCAACTCAGTCCAGGTCCTGTCACTGGTCAGTCGAGAAGGGTCGGCGCTTAGGAGGTGCGTCCATCAATGACTGTCGCGGGTGGCACGGGCGGAGCGAGCAGAGGAAACCCCAGTAGCGTACCTGCTCTGCGGACACCTGTGCGCAAGCGAAGCGTGTTTTACTCAGCATGCGAAACTGAAGTACCACGGTGCACATTAGCATGACGTGTGGAAGGCGGGCGGCGCTCCCACATGACAGCGACAACCGCTCTCCCCGAACACACTGCTCGCGACGAGGGGATGTGTCCTAGCTCGTGCGGCACGAAGCCGCGGCTGCTTATCGCATCGTTTCCCTCGCTTGGATTCCAGTAGATATATATATATATATATATATATATAGATATATAAAGATGTATGTATGTGTACATATATATACACGTACTCCTCAAACAATGCTTGCACTTCCGGCTGCTTGCTTGTTGCTCTCAGCGTACTGAGCCTGGGTGCCGGTCTGGCGGCCCCGCGATCGACGTCGCCACCCCGTCGCCGCCCGTCGTCTGGGCCCCCGTGCTCGTCGGGGCGGATCTGTGGTCGCAGTCGCCGCCCCGTCGCCGCCTCCGCGCCGCCCGTCGTCGGGGCCCTGGGTAGGGGGTCTGGCGGCGCCGTGGTCGCCCTGGCCGCCCCGTGGCCGCCCCGTCGCCGCCCGTCACCTGGGCCTGGGAGCCGGTCTGGCGGTGCCATGGTCGCCGTCGCCGCACCGTCGCCGCCTAGATTGCACAACGTGTAGTGTACCATATGGGTTCGCGTGTCCAAGCGAATGAGAGGAGCGACCTCCCCGGGTTGAAGCGCCCCTTTTTTCGCATTCCAACTGGCATAGGATTCTGCCCCATCATCCATCCCAGATATGAATGCGTACCATCCTGGGCAGGCTGTTAACACCGCCCCCCTCTGTCATCCTCTGCAAGAAAAACCTATGCGCGCGCACCCGTTTATCTAAAATCATCAATTTGCAAAATCTCTTCCAACAAACGGGGCGAAGTGCGCACGTGCGAATCGTCGTGCGCAAGTGCACAAATCCTGCAACAACCTTGGGCGTCGTCGCGATTTCAAAACCGAATGTCCCGAAACATTAAAAACACATGGCTTCGCTACAAGAAATTTCGAAAACAATCAATCCCGTTCAGGGTCTTGAGACTTGTTAAGAAAAACAAGCTTTTTTCAAAATTGCCATAACTTGCTACCTAGCAGGCCTCTCTCGCGCGCGCGGATGTCGGAATCGATCGAACACCCTTGCGCGAGTGCTGTCGCAAGAATCCCTTGCTAAAAAGCGGGACGAACTGCACGCACGCGCGTCGTCGCGCGCGCATGCGGAAATCCTTCGGCAACCTTAGGTGTCGGAAAGTCTGCACAATCGAAAGTCCCGAAAACTTTAACTACACGTGGTAGTGCAACGCCAACTTTTAAACGTGCCTGCTCTCGCGCTCCCGCGAACGCTTGGGAAAACCGTAGGTTTCAACATGCGCAGCAAACTCGGCCGACAAAAAGGGCCTCTCGTGCCGCGTCGTCGCGCGCGCATTCGGACATGTTTCACGCACCTTAAGTGTCGCGCGGGTTTCAAAATCAAGTGTCCGATAACAAATAAAATGCACGGCTTTGCAACAGCAGCTCTAAAAAATGTCTGCGATCGCGCTTCTGCGAACTTTTGAGAAACCCATCGGTTCTTCAACATTGCGGCACGCGCGTGTCGACTTCTTGCAAAACAGTAATTCCCGACGCAACGGACGTCGTCATCGTTATCGGCGGGCGTGATCATCATCGGCGTTGTCATTTGCCTTGCCGCCGTCATACCCACCATCACGACCATTATCGCTACTCTCATCATCGCGTGTACCCTAACGCTGTCGGCGTCGTTGTGATACCGCGCCCGCCTAAGTCACCGTCGCCTACGTGCCCGCTGTAAAGTGCCAAGCGGTCAGCGCGACCGCGGCCGCGTCGGTCGCGCCGCACCAACTGGCCATTACGAGGGCGAGCATGCACGGGCGAGCGAGCCCGCAAGAATTCACCAGCCAACGCCAACCACTCATCGCAATCGCCGTCGCGTGTGTTTTGCAAACCGAATTGCGGGCGGGCGGGTGGGATGATTGCGCGAGAAGTGGCATTGACAACGCACTGCCAGCAGAAATGGCAAATTGCACCACAAAGGTTGTCTTCGAAAAGAATCACCGGGTCTACCCCCACCCCCCGGAGCTAACAGTTTCCACTTTCGCCGCGCAGTTCACATGTGATTCTGCCCAACCGTCCATCCAACATGTGAACTCATACCATCCAGGTCTGCTGGTAGCCCCCCCATGCGCGCGCACTCGTTTATCACAAATCAGTTGCCCCCCCCGAACAAATAGGACGACATGCGTGCGCGCGTCGTCGCGCACGCATGCCGCAATCCGTCGGAAACCTTGGGCGTCGTCGGGGTTTCAAAATCGAGCGCCCCGAAAACATATAAAACCACATGGTTTCGCCGCAAGAATCTTCAAACTCCAAAAATGCCTGCAATCGCGCTTTTGCAAATTCTTCACATGATAACATAACGGTTTCAATATTTTCATAATTTGATACGTACCAAACGGGCCTCCCGCGCGCGCACAACGACATGGTTCGAACGCCACTGCGCGCGCGCTGTCGCGCAAATCGCTCGCGACTGATTTGACGATGCGCGCGCGCGTGTCGTCGGTCGCGCACGCGGCAATATTTCGACAACCTTGTTTGCAAGCTCGACTGCCCGGAAAAAAAAGGATTAAAAGCATATGGTATTGCAGCGCCAGTTTGCAAACGTGCCTGCACTCGCGCTCGTGCGAACGCTTCGGACAACCATAAGGTTTTCCAACGTGTCCATCAGATTCGGCCGAACGGGCCTCTCGCGCCACATGTCGAAATTATTCGGGCGCCCTCGCGCGCGTGCCTGGGGGGGCAGCGGGGGAGCGCGATCCTCGTCAAGCAATGCCGCTCGGGCAACTCTCGCGCATCGGCAGCGCGCATGTCGAACTCCGTCCAAACTCTTCCTCGCCGACGAGAGGACGCCGTCATCGTCGCCGGCGTGATTAGCATCGGTGCCGTCATTGGCCTTGCCATCGTCGTTGTCACCGTCGTCGCCAGCATCGCCACTGCCATCGTCTCGTCTACAGTCGTCGGCGTTGCCATGATGCCGCGCCCGCCCAAGTCGCCGACTTGCACTGAAGTGCCCGCTGGGAAATGCCCGGCGGCCAGCGCCACCGCGGCCGTGTCGGTCGCGCCGCACTAGCTGGCCGCTGCTCGCGCGAGCATGCGCGGGCTAGCGCGGCTTCAGGGATGTACCAGCCAGCGCCAAGCCTTCATCTCAATCGCCGCGGCATGGGTTTTGCAAACCAGTTGCGGGCGGGCGCGCGGTATGGTTGCGCGAGCAGTGGAGTTGACAACTCACTGCGAACGGGAATAACTTGCACCACATAGGTTGCACCACATAAATTGCACAACGTGGGTTGCACACGCATTGCACCCCGTAGATTGCGCCAAGCAGATTGCCCCACACAGATCGCCCCACATAGATTGCGCCGCGTAGACTGCACCAAATGTGCGGCACCACGTGGATTGCACCACGCGCGTTGCACAATAAGTAATGCACCGAACCGATTCTCTTTTCGAGAAAAAATTAACATCTCCCCCCCCCTCCCTCCCCAGACTTGACGGGTCACCTCTCCGCACTGCAATTTGCATGCGATCCTGCCCCCTGGTCCATCCTAAATTTGAATCCGTTCCATCCCTGCGATCCCGAGATCGACCCCACCCCCCCTCAGCTCATGTCTAAAACTAATGTGCGCGCGCTCGTTTATCACAAATCATCAATTGTTCAACAACCTTTTTGACAAAAAAACAGTGAACACGCGCGCGTCGCCGCGCGCGCATGAAAAAATCCTACAACAACCATAGGTTTCGCAAGGATTTCAAACATCGAATGAAACCATACGAACAAAAACAATGGTTTCGCAACGAGGACTCTCGAACAAAGTTCGCGCCAACGCACGCAAACACACACACACACGCACACACACACACACACGTACGCACGCACGCACGCATACACACGCACACGCGCGCACACGCACGACCGCACGCACGCACGCACGCACGCACGCACACACACACACACACACACGCACACACATTCACACACACACACACACACATGCGAACACACACATACACTCACCCACACAAGCACCCAGGCACACATACACCGCACGCACGCATAAAACACACATGCCCACCCACGCACGCACGCACGCACGCACGCACACACACACACACACACACACACACACACGCCACACAGACACACTCGCGCACGTACACACTCACGAACACACACACACACACACACACACACACACACGCACGCACGCACGCACGCGCACACACACGCACACACACACACACACACACACGCACGCACGAACGCACGCACGCACACACGCACACACAACCACTCACACGCACGCGCGCACGAACACACTCACGAACACACACACACACAACGACACCCACACACGCACACACGTACACACAAACAAACACACACACATACACACACACACCCACACACGCACACACGCACGCACAAACAAATTCTCACACGCACGCACACAACGCACGCGCGAGACGTACACCCATGCATAAACACACACACACACACACACGCACCCACACGCACGCACGCACGCGCACACTCGCACACGCACACACGCATGCACACACAAACAAAGACACACAAACGCATACACATACACACACACCCACGTACGCACACACGCTCTCACACACAAACGCACGCACGCACACACGTGGACACGCACGCACGCACGCACGCACGCACGCACACACACACACACACACACACACACACAAAAACCAAACCACCACTCACCACAACACCCCCACCCAACACGCAACACGCACGCACGAACACCAACGGGGAATTCACGCAAACACGCAACACAAACACCACGCGGCAACACCCCCCACCACACTACACACTCACACACGCACGCACGCACGCTCGCTCGCTCACGCACGAATTCGCAATCACACGCACACACACACACACACACACACGTACGCACGCACCCGCACCCACACACACACACACACACACGCACACACACACACACACACACACACACGCACGCACTCACAACCACGCACGCACGAACGCGCACACAAATTCGGGCACCCTCCACCGTGCCCTCGGGACGGTGTCAGACGGACCAGGCGGCCCCCCTCGTCGCGGCGTCCGCCAGTCCTCGGAGCTCTTCGCGGCCCCGGGGAGGCGCGAGCACCGCCCGAGACCGCCCCCAAGAGGGCTGCGAGGTGCCCCAGGAGCGCCCCCCCCCTCCCCCCTCCCCCCCCAAAAAAAAGCTTGGCGACGAACCAACTCTTTGCAGCTGCGGGTGACGCATGATCTTGCCCTCTCATTCCAGGCCATTCCCCCCAGGCCCCCCCCCAGCTGGCCCAAGCGCGCGGCCAGAGGGGATCACCGCGCGCGGCCCGCCCCCCCAGGTGGACCAAGAGGCACCAGCAGCGCACCAGTCTTCCTCACCGGCAGCGCGCTGCTCCCCCCCCCCCCCCTCCCCCAAGCTCCCAGCCTCTCCAGGCAGCGCGCGGCCAGAGGGATAGATTCCAGGACAGGGCGGGTGGGGACCATGAAGCGTGCACGTAAGGGGTGCGTCGAAATCATGCGGAGACACCATTCGGTCGCGCCCGTGGAGCAACCTGTGGGGCAAGGAAACGTGTGAGGTTCGTGCTGGAATTCCAGGGGATTGGCGGGGGACGCTGTGCGGTCAACACCACTGTGACCCTCGGTGGAGCTCCCTTTACGGCCACGAGCCGTGTGAGTGGTGTGTCGAAAAAAGAGGGCGCGGCGCCAAGCGATCTGTCCCACTGGGACCTTCGGTGGAGCTCCCTATGTGGCCACGAACTCTGCAAGGGGTTTGCAAAAGTTGGGCGGGGCGACGCCATGCGAACTGTCCCAATGGACCCTCGGTGGAGCTCTCTGTGGGCCTATGAGGCCGCGCAGCGAAGCGGGTGACGGGGGGGGCCCGAATGGGCACGGGCGACCCCGAGCGGTATGTCCCACTGGGATCCTCGGTGGAGCTCCCCATGGGGCCACGAGGCGTGTGAGGGTGTGCCGACATGGGCGGGGCGGCGCCACGCGGTCTGTCCCACGGGGGCCCGCGGTGGAACTCCAGGCAGGGCCACCAAACGTGTGAATGGTGTGTCGAAACAGGTATGGGGAGTGAACGCGCGGGTGTTGCAAGCAAAGGGGACGGGCGGGAAGGCAGGAGAGGACGCGGGGCCGTGCGGATTCAAGAGGAGGGCCCGGCTCAACACAGGAGGGTTGGGAAACATCGCAGCGCCAAGATTTTCCCAAGAGGCCGCATGAAGCCACAGGGAGGCGCCCAAGGAGCTCTCCAGTACGGCCCACATAGACAACACACAAAGAGACACATACTTACTCGACGCCTTTGCTTCCGAAGAACTTTGACCACGCGACGGCCTCGGACAATCTTCAGCGAGCCCCAGGACGCCCCCCTAACTCCCCAAAGACGGTCCAAAACAAATCCCAGACATGGCCTGACCCCAAGGCGCCCCAATACCACCCTAAGAGGTCTCAGATATGGCAACGATACTCGACCCCAAGATGAGTCTGCCGAGCCTATTCGGAAGAGCTGTGTATACTACAATCGCGCCCAACACACGCCCAAGGACGTCCCACCACTCCCCGATACGCCCTCTTGAAGCCTTAATAGACCCAAGCAGGCAACGATTAAGCCTTCCCAGAATAATTCCCCAAGAACCCTTGAATGCGCCCCCAGGAAGCAACGCGACAACCACACAATGCTACGGCGTCGAGCGCTGCTGCGCAAACGGCCATGGGATGGATCCACCGCACCGTCTCGGGAGAGTTCAGTAGAACAATCCCGCAGGCGAGTCGGTGATGCGCTGGCACGGTGTTTGGGAAACGCTGACGACACAACACGGTGTGCTGGGCAGCGTGACGGAATGTCCTGGCATGGCCTGGGCCACCAACCATAAGACGGACCATGGGCAGACGTCGACGCACTATCACGCGGCGTCACGCAGACCGAATCGGAGACGTCCCCGCCCCCGTGCTCCGCCGAGTTCAGCAGGAGGTGCATGTTTGTCGCGTTCTGGTACAGCCACGGCTTGTGGATCGCGCACCTCGCGCGCCGCACCTTTCCCTCTTCCGCTCGAGGCGGCAAGGGATGGATGGGGAGGGGGCAGCGGAGGGATGGAGAGGGGGGGGAGAGAACACATCGAGGAACAGGGATAGAAAGCGAAGAAGGGTGTGAGGGAGACGATGCCCGTGGATCGAACACGTACTTAGTAGCCCCTCCCTCGCTCCCTCGCCCCCATCCCCTGGATCCTCTCACCTTCACTCCATGCTGCTACCCGTGTTGTCTATCGCTTCCATGTGATCACTGCATCCTCCGCCGCCTCATCCGCCTCCTCCACCTCGCCCTCCCCCGTCTCAGCCGTTGCCGCTTCTGCTGCTCCTTTTCCTCCTCTTCCCCCGCCACGTCCCTCACCTCCGAAAATTCAACCCCAGCCGGAGGAGGGCTGCATGGCACATTCGTCGTGCAATCCCGAGGGACCACCACAAGTAGGAGGGGGAGGGGGCCCTCCTCCTCCTCCTCCTCCTCCTCCTCCACCTCCTCCTCTTCCTACTCCTCCTCCTCCTTCTCCTCCTCCTCCTCCTCCTCCTCCTCTTCCTACTCCTACTCTTCCCTCCCTCCTCCTCCTCCTCCTCCTCCTCCTCCTACTCTTCCTCCTCCTCCTCCTCCTCCTCCTCCTCTTCTTCCACCTTCCTCCTCCTCTCCGACTAGTCTTCCTCCCTGACCTCTTCTTCCTCTCCTCCTCTTCCTCCTCCTCGGACTCTTCTTCTTCTTATTCTTCTTCTTCTCCTCCTCCTCCTCCTCCTCCTCCTCCTCCTCCTTCCTCCCCCCCATCCAACTTGTGGTGGTGGTGGACAACCTATCATCCACCGGGTTCCAGTCGCCCCCGCGGCGGCCTCCGCCCAGGGCGGCGTGCCAGCCCCTCGGCCCCACCCCCCCTGGCGGCGCGGCTCTCCCCCCGCAGCGCCCCGAAGGGGCGCAGCCGCCGCGCACGGGAATGATGCTGCGGCCGTCGTGCTACCGCAGAATGGAAGGTAGAAGATCCACCCCCCTCCTCCTCCTCCTCCTCCTCCTCCTCCTCCTCCTTCCTCCTCCTACTCCTCCTCCTACTCCTCCTCCCCCCCTCCCTTTGCTCCCCTCCTCTTGCTCCTCCTCTACCTCCTCTACCTCCTCCTCCTCCTCCTCCTCCTCTCCTCCTCCTCCTCTCCTCCTCCTCCTCCTCCTCCTCCTCCTCCTCCTCCTCCTCCTCCTCCTCCTCCTCCCCCCCCCTTGCTCCCCTCCTCTTGCTCCTCCTCTACCTCCTCCTCCTCCTCCTCCTCCTCCTGCTCCTCCTCACCCTCGTGTTCATCTTCGTCGTCTTCATGGTCGGCGGCACCGGCCGTAAGGCCTTCGCAGTAGAGGGCAGACGATCCCCCCCCATAATAACCACCCCGACAAGCGAGGCCGTGTCGTAAACGCACCCAAGGAAGGAATCGAGCAGGGCGAGGCTGCTTATAGTGAACAGTGAACGCCCAGGGCCGTGCAGCAAACGTCCATTGTCGGGTTCGGGTGTGTTTTTCCTCCCCTTCAATACATAAAAGGGCCCTGGGACACACAAATAAATACACACAAGTAAAAAGATTCCCCAGATTTTCCCATATGTTCTGGGTTTTTGTCTGCCCGCCCAGTTCCAATCTTTTCCTATATCTCTTCGAGGGAATCGACGATTCAATGTGTCTGTGTGTATGTTATGTCCCCCTCCCTTGAGTAGAGGACGCCAGATGTAAGGGACGAAGGGGGCGCTCCTGGCCACGGCGAGCCGCGGCCACGGAGAGGCCCCCCCGACCTGCATCCAAGGAGCTGCCCGAGAACCAGCGGCTCCCCTTAGGCCCAAAGGGCTCCTCCTCTCGGGCGTCCCGACTGTGGGCAGGTTCGTGTCGACGGGTCATGAAAAAATCACGACCCCTTCGGGTCATGAAAAAATCACGACGGCAGGTTTTTCGCCATTTTCGGCCTCTGGGGGCCCTCGCCGGGCCTCGGGACCGTCAAAAAACGACTCGGGATGAAGAGCCGGTCCCGGGGAATGGGTCCAGACCTCTGGGGGTCGCGTCATGAAAAAATCATGACGTCGGGGGTCTGGGAAGGGCTCCTTCTCTCGGGGGTCCCGACTGTGGGCAGGTTCGTGTCGTGACGACCCCGGCGTTGGTTCCTGACACCGTGTGGTTTGTTCCACCTGGAACGGTCGGCGGCTCTCCGACCGCCCGAGCGTTCCCTGTGGGCCGATTCTGGGCCACTGGCGGCGTGCAACCGGTCGACACGACGCGAACCTGCCTCGGGTCGGGCGAAAGGGGGGGATAGCAAAGGGGGAGTTTGAGAATCAGCTCACGTAGCTGATTTTCCCGGCGCCTCCCGGCGCCGGAGGCGGCCATGTATCGAGGAATGGGCCCCTCGGTGAGGCCGAGACCAGCTGCATGCAGCAAATTTCGTAACCCTCCCTTTCCCAATCCCCCCCCTTTCGCCCGGCCCGACTGCCGCAGGCGAGGACGCCAGATCCTTGGGCGCCCAAGTGTGTTCCCCAGACCCCTCCCGGAAGCCTGCCGAGCCACTGGTTGGTGGGACACCCTAGCTCTGGAGTAGGCCCACTAAGTGGCGAGGACCTGCCCTAGGCGAGGACGCCAGATCCTTGGGCGCCCAAGTGTGGTCCCCAGACCCCTCCCGGAAGCCTGCCGAGCCGGACACGGCCGTGGCGCCGAGACGAGGCCTCCGGGCCCACAGATCTCGTGGCCACGCAAGGCCGCCGCTGTCTCGACACCCGGCTGCCGTCTCTGCGGGCTCTCCGCATCCGCGGGCCCCAGCTCTTCCCGCTCCTCCTCCTCCTCCTCCTCCTCCTCCTCCTCCTCCTCCTCCTCCTCCTCCTCCTCCTCCCCCCTCCTCCTCCTCCTCCTCCTCCTCCTCCTCCTCCTCCTCCTCCTCCTCCTCCTCCTCCTCCTCCTCCTCCTCCTCCCGGTCTCGGGGAGACGGAAGACTCGGGCGCGAGGGACTCGGGCTGGCCTGGCGGGGCCATCGTGAAGATGACGAGCTCCCAGTCTGCAATTTGACGCGAACGCCCGCTGCAGACGTCCCACGTCCCACGCCGACTGGACCGGCAAAATCCAGGGGCGCGCTCGTCATCAAAACTTCGGCACACCCGAGATCCGGCTCACTCGAGTCCCACGTTTCCCCGGCAGCTCTGGACCCATCTTCAGGGGGCCCTCCTCTCTCTTCGCCCCTGGTTGAAGCCACCGCCCCAGTACCACCCGCCCGACACCTTTCAGGGCCCTGGGGCCCCAGAGCGTGAGATCGAGGGACGGCGCCCGGATGGAGCACGCCATAGCGGCGGAGATCTTGGGCTGGCCTTACGTCGGGCCTCTCCCCCTACAGGTAGATTTTCGACGAACAATGCAAAATACCGCAAACATATAATCAAAACACAATTCAAACATAGCCTGGGGCTTTTCTTTGTTAGCATTTGTTTTGCTATTTTGGAGTATTTTTGGGGGTATTTTGCATGTTTCGCCCAAAATCCCCCTGTAGGGGGACACGCCCGACTTGAGGCTGGCCCTCCTCCTCCGACCCACGGCGCCTCCGTGCCAACTGACTGCCTTGGCAGGATGCAAATGGGGGGATAAGTCCAGATGGGGAGAGAGGCGCAACTGAGGTACAAATTGTACATACGCCCCACGGAGAAGGTACAATTTGTACCGACGCCACGCAGACAAGGTATAAATTGTACTTTTGACAACGTCCGCGACATGTGCGAGGATGTTAACGGGGGGGAGAAGGTACAATTTGTACTTGCAACCCGCAGAGAAGGTACAAATTGTACCCCAACAAAACGGTACCGGATACTCATCCCCCCATGTCCTGATCCCCCCATCGCCATCCGGCCGACTGCCGCACCCCGCGGGCGGAGCGGCGAGCCGGTTGTGGGAAGCCTCGGCCCTGCAGCGGCGATCCATCGGTGCGCTATCGGCGACGGGCCCCGGTAACGACGGACTCTGCATGCGAAGAGCCCAGACCCCTTCGGGTCATGAAAAAATCACGACGGCAGGTTGCTCGCCATTTTCGGCCTCTGGGGGCCCTCACCGGGCCTCGGGACCGTCAGAAAACGACTAAGGATGAAAAACCGGTCCCGGGGAATGGGTTGGGACCTCTGGGGGTCGCGTCATGAAAAAATCATGACGTCGGGGGTCTTGGAGGCGAGCGGGTGGGGAAACATCGGCCTGGAATCGGCGAGAGATCGCTGAGAAATCGGCGACAGGCCCCTGATGGAGAGGCTGCATGGTCCGGGGCGGGGTGGGTTACTGGGCCCCTTTCGGCGATCCGTGGGCGGAAGCATACTTTCTCCGAGGTCTGGCCGATCTTTTGGCTCGAGCGCGCCAGGGGCGGCGGAAGAGGCGCCGCCCAGGGGGGTCCAGGGCCAATCCGAAAAATCCGCGCGAACCTCGGGGAATGTATGTTTATGCACTTTCTGTTATTCGAGATTTGGGGTCGATGCATCTTCGGTGGCAACTCACGGGAGCCTCCCATACCATCTTGCTGGCTCTCGCGAATCGACGCTAACCGACGCTACTCACAGCCTTGAACCGATCGCGGTCCCGATCGTTCAAGGTTGAATTCCGTCGGGTCCTGTGGCGTTTCCGTCGCTCCAGCGTCGCTCTATCATGCGGAGTTCAACCTTGGATGCCTTCGCCGGCGTCGCCGGCGCGCCATCGCCGCACGAACCCACCGTACACGGCTCCTGCGATTTGCTACAGTCAACCCGTGTCATAAGGACGCACGATAAGGATGCAAGGGCCTTGTAAGGCTGTGTCGACACTTTGCGAGCGGGGCGCGGCCAGCGAAAACGGCCAAGGATGGGCCGAAAGGGAAGGATGCAAGGGTAACCCCTTGGGAAAGTTGCTCATCCGTGCCATGCGGGTTGACTGTACCGGATGCCGGATGCGTCTCCCTGTGAGCCGATCCCCCCCCTACCCATCGGTCGGAAGAAGTAGGTAGAAATATGAAGAAGGAAGGCGTTGACAATAGACTGGGTTGCGCCCGCCCCCTACGGAGGACGGCAAAGGTGAAGCGCCACTCGAACACTGAAGTAGGAAGGCGTTTAAAGTAGATTGAAATCTGGAAAGGGAATCCAAAAATACCTACGTTCAACGACCCATGGGTACTGTTGCCCCCTGCGAGCCGCGGGCGGCCGGGAGGGCGTCGGCGGGGGCGTCGGCACGGGCCCGGGTGCATCACCGTCTCGACGGCGAAGCTCGCGGCGGCCTCTGGTGCAGAACGGCAAACGGAGGGCGCCTGACTTCGCGCTGCGCGCTGCGCGAAGCGGGCGGGAACAACTTCGCGCTCTCGCGCCACCACGAATCCCGAAGCGCGAAGAACTTCGCGCCTTCGAAGGCGCCCTTGCAAACCCCTCCGACGGTGCGACTCTTAAGGTCCGGGCGTTATTCGTCGATTCCGGCTTCCGGGGGCCGCTACAGGACCCAGGGGCAACCAGACGTGGATCGGGGGGCAAAGCCATCCCCGGGGAAGCGGCCGGGAACTCTGGGGTGAAGTCGGGCCTGTCCCCCTACAGGGGGATCTTGGGCGAAAAATGAAACAACACTTAAAAAATGCCCCGAAGATGCCCAAAAATATGAAAAAGAACGTCCCCAGACAATTTTTGGACTACTTTTGAATTCCCCCCCTGTAGAGGGACAGGCCCGACTTGACTCTGGGGCCGCGGACTGATAAAGCCAGATCGGCGGATATCAAGGAGGGGGGGGCGACGCGAGAGGGAAGAAGCGGATGAAAAAGAAGAGGCGGAGGAGGCTAACAGCCCCCGCTCCCGTGGCCAGGCGATCCCCATTTCGTCCAGTACTCATGAACGTGTGCTAGGACAGGCTTCAGCAAACCTGCGCCGGCACAGGCCTTGCCAGCAGCTAGTCACGACGAGGGGAGCTGGGCAGGTCTGGGACGACGGCGCCAAACTCGCAACACTGCCAAAACTATCCTTGGTTATCTCTGAGAAGCGCTCTCTACACTCAAACATTCGAGTCTAACGAGACGCCTTGTGTTCGCCACGCGCGCGATCAACGCTAGAGGCCAGCGCCTCGAAGCATGCGGGGGTATGTTTCAGAGGCCTTTTGTCTTGAAGCCGTTCCAGTCTTGGAGCGGATGTAGCCGTGGCATCTGCAAGCGAGCGCGTTCAACGGGATGCAATATCCAAGGACGCCTGTGGTCTTCTTGCGGGGCGTACCCCACTGAATAAGTTACGTAGCGCCCAGCGGTTGCGGATAAGAGTGGGGGGCCGACAGGGACGTCGGCAGTCTGCGAGGCTCTGAAGTAGTCCGCCGCAGGCGCCTAATGTTTACAAATCATACAACGAACAGATTTGTTCGTCAAAGCAGTGTGCGTGGGTCGCGGGTGGGTCGCGGGTGGGTCGCGGGTGGGTCGCAGGCCAGGTCGCGGGTGGGACGACGACAACGAACAACAAACAACAAATCGCAACAACAACAACATCAACAACAACAACAATCATGTTAAGACTGTTCGCTCTTACTGGCACTCGTGTCTTGCGTTCCGTATACCCCAACCATCGATACCCGCCCACTTCGTCTTCGATGGCACCCTCTTTCGGGGGGGAATATCTTCCTTGTCGGCCTCTGGCTGAAGTGCGAAGAACCTTCAAGCGAGAACGCCGTTCCTGAAATCGGGGGCCTCTCTGGCCAAGGGCTCTCGGAATTTCGGAATACCTATGGAGAAATATCGAACGGGAGCCCTTGTCGCCGTGTCCGGGCCTACACCAACTTGCCTGAATTACGGAAAGCCTCGAGCGAGAGCACCGTTCCTGAGTTCGGGGGCCTTCTTGGCAAGGGGCTCTCTGAGTAAATTCGAGCAGGAGCCCTTGTCGTCGTGGCTGGGCCTCCGCCAAATTGCCTGAATTACTGGAAAGCCCCGAGCGAGAGCACCGTTCCTGAGTTCGGGGGCCTTCCTGGCAGGGGCTCTCGGAGTACATTCGAGCAGGAACCCTTGTCGTCGTGGCTGGGCCTCCGCCGACTCAATCGAATTGCCCGAAAGGGGTACGGAAAAAATTGGCACAATGCCCAACAACACATGTTGTCCCAAACCAACAGCGGCCGCTGTTGGGCAGGCGGCCTTCTGTCTCGAATGGACACAAGCCGCGGCGGCGTGGACAGCGAGTCCTGTTCAAAATGGACAAGATCCGCTGTTGGGCATTGTACCCATTCTTTCCGTGCCCATTTCGTTCGTGCAGAAAAACCTCGCGCGAGAGCGCCGTTCTTGAGTTCAGGGGCCTCTCGGGCCTGGGCCGCTGGGCCTCCAAGGGCCCACAGTTAGGCTCAAACCAA